AAGATATTGAAATATATATTTAAGCCCTCAGCTGTCATTGGGCTACACAGGATATACAGCCCAGAAACAGTCCATGCAGGTGCTTATGCTGTACCCAAGCCTTCTGCCATCTTTCATCATCTTTCCTTTCTAAATCTTAATTCTCTACTCCCTTCTCTTTCATATGTTTGCCTAGCTTCTCTGTAAATTATCTATAATATTTTAGACCATAAGAAACAGCAGCCCCCTCGAGCCCGCTGCACCATTCAACAGGATCCAAAATTCCCCACACCCACTTTTCTGCATTTTCCCCAAAGCCCTTGACTCCCTGACTGATCAAGAATCTATCTATCTCAGCCTTAAATTGGTGCCCTTTATTCTGAAACTATGGCCTCTGGTCCTAAACTCCCCCATGAAGGGAAACATCCTCTCAGCATTTACCCTGTCAAGCCCTTTAAGAATTCTATATGAATACTATATGATCACCTCTCAGTCTTCTAAACTCCAGTGAGTGGAGTTCGAACCTTTTTAGCCTTTGCTCATAAGAGAATCCCTCCATACCAGGGATCATTTTAGCGAACCTTCTCTGAACTGCCTCCAATGAAATGATATCTCTTCTTAAATAAGGGAACCAGAACTGCTCACAGTTCTCCAGATGTGGTCTCACCAGCACCTTGTACAGTTACAGTAAGATTTCCCCACTCTTATACTCCAATTCTCTTCAACTACTCCCCTGGGGTAGAGCCTTCCATATAATTAAGACTGGTTGTGTAAAGAGATTTTTTCTCCAGTTTTCCTATTGAATTCCTTAGTGACTATATTGTATTGATAGCCTCTTGATTATGCTCTCACACAATTGGTTTGAATTGAGGATGAGTAAACATCTGCGTTGATAAATACTGGAGTAAAGTGAGGAAGTGAAAAAATTTCCACTTCAGAATAATACACACCAGAACAAATGCTGACCTAATTACAATGTGATATTAATCGCCTGGTTCTACCTTTCATGTTGCTGGAACAGCCATTAAAACTCATACAGCACATTTCACAAACTCACACTGTTCTAAAGCCAATGGGATACCGTTGCTGCAGTGTCGTCACTATTGTAGCACACAAGAAGTTCCACAAGCAACAATTCAGTAATACCCAGATAATTTGTTTTAGGTGTTGGTTGAGGGATAAATATTGGCCAGGGGAACTCCCCTGGTCATTTTTGACCAATACAATGGGATGTTTTTTAATGGCTGCAACAGAGAAATGACAGGCTTCAGATGAACATCTCCTTTGATTGATGGCACCTCTGACCATGCTGCACTCTTCTTACTGCACTGGTGTCTCTGTCTGGATTATGTGTTCAAGGCTGTGGAGTAGAGCTTGAACTCGTAGCTTTGTGACTCGAGTGGGAGTGATGTAGTTACTGAGGAAGGGGCTCAATAAGAAAAAGGTCCAGATGGCTTGAAGCAGAAAAATGGATCAAAAATGGGAGCAAGGCAATTAAAATAGCTGGATCCAGTTAAAGACTTGATTGAATTACAACATTTAAAAGGCATCTGGATGGCTATATGAATAGGAAGGGTTTAGCGGGATATGGGCCAAATGGTGGCAAATGGGACTAGATTTATTTAGAATATCTGGTCGGCATGGGTGAGATGGACCAAGGGTCTGTTTCCATGTTGTGTAAGTCTATGACTCTATAAAAGGGAGCAAAAAAATATAGCATCATGTCTTTAAGGTCCTAAAGTGCTTTGCAGCGGATGAAGTGACTTTTGTAATATGAAAAATTCTAAATTCAGTAATAACATAGTAAACTCCGTTATAGATCCCCTTGAGAAAATTAAACAAAAGCCACGTTAAAGTTTCAGTTATTAATAACTTAAGCCTCAGGGGTTATATTTCAGTTGTTTCTTGGCAGCAGCAACAATCCTGGAATAAAACATTTAACTTCCTCTTCTAAGATCTTCCAATGTTGTTGGCCCAACATGCTGCAGTTATTTGGTTGTAGCGTAGCTTACAATGCAGTGTGTTTTTTTTTCATTCATATTTACATCGGAAAACCCAGGGGAAAAGGCTGAAAAGATGACATAAGAATTGGCCCAGTAATTGATTGTGATGGCTGTCAATGGTTTGATTGAGTGGGTGGAAAAGTAGCAAATGGAATTCAATCAGAAGTGCAAGGTTAAGCACTTGGACAGGCCAAACAAAGTAAAGGAATACATAATAAACAGGAGAGATTGACAAGGATAAAACAAATGAGAGATCTTGGAATGCATGTCCACAGGTCCCTGAAGACAGTAAAGAAGGCGTATGGGATGCTTTCCTTCACTGAGCAAAATATTGAGTATCAGGGATGTAATGCTAGAACTACATAAGGCATTGGGTGGGCCATAGCTGGATTTTTGTGCATGGTTCTGGTCATCACATAATAGGAAAAATACAATTGCTCTAGAGAAAGACCAGAGGATATTTACAAGAATGGTGTCTGTAGTGACTGTAACAAGGTCAGCCAGGTGGACCTCATAGAATGAGCTCCCTGATCGGGGCTGTTACTCTGGTCCAATCAGAGAACCCTGGCTGTCAGATAAGGAGTGTCGGAACCCACTTGTGGCACAGTGGTGGTGTCAGTAACCTTGGATCAAGAGACTTGGGTTTGAGGCCCACCTGCTCCAGTGATGTGTAATAGCATCTCTGAATAGGTTAAATAAAAATAAGAACAGGTGTCAGAGGTTCTGTTCACTCTGAGAGCTGGCTCTGAGGGAGCTGGATCAATGTCAAGGACTCTCCATGTGTAAGTAAAGGGTGACTTGTTGCTGGGATACCGGTCTCCGTGGAGTTATTCCAGTGTCAGAGTGTTGGAAACTGCAGCATTGAGGAAAGATTGGATAAAGCCAGAGGAGGTTGAGAGTGTTCTTAATTGAGGTATAACAATAATGAGGGGGTTTGGAGAGAGACCCTAGTGGAGAGATCTATTACCAGGGAGCACATATTTAGAACATTAACATAGGAGCAGGAGTAGGCCATTCAGCCCCTCAAACCTGCCCCATCATTCAATGAGATCTGATCCACCCTAGGCCTCAAGCCTTAGGATTAGAGGGGACATGAGGAAAACTCTTTCTCGAGGAGAATGGTGGGTGTCCGGTATGGTGGTTGAAGCAGAACTCTTAATTTAGTTAAAATAGGAATCAGGGTGGGTGGTTGGTTTATTCAGCTGCCACTGACATGATGGGGTGAATGGCCTCTTCCTGTACTGTAACCTTTCCACAGTTCTCATCGGAGGGCAGGTTTATGTAGGAAAATATATATAGCCAGTATAGACGCTGTGGGCTGAATGGCCTCCTTCTGCTCCATAACAGTTATGTGATCAATCAAAGATTGAACGATGAAACATGAATTGTAGAGCACCTTTCATGTTCTCAGGACCAAAGCATTTTACAGTCACTGAGGTACTTGAATATTTGCCACTTCTGTATGTTGGAAAATAATAGAAAGATAAGATTTTAAACTCCTGCAGAATGTAGATTGAAAGGAAAGGTTCCATATATTTGAGGGAAAAGATTGATGGCAGGTTTGAGTTATGGTTTGGAAGAACAAATTGCAATCCTGACTGGATTAGCCCTTTCAAGACTGAGCATTCATTAGCGATTTTCTAATTTTCGTTTTATTTGTTTCCCAGATATGAGCATCACCACCAGCCCTTTGTGAATTGCCCAAACCCAAGATCCCAATTTAAGTTATCCTTTTCTGTCTGTAACCTGCTCCAGCACAACAATCCCATCAGATCTCTGTGCTTCTCTCATTCCAACCTCTTGCACATCCATCCCTCTATCATTGGCAGCTATACCTTCTGTCTACTGAGCCCTAAGTTCTGGAATTCCCTTCCTAAATTATTCCTTCCTCTTTCTACTCCTTTAAGACATTCCTTAAGACATGCCTCTTTGATCAAGCTTTTGGTCATTTTCCCTGAAATCTCCTTAAGTGACTCACCATCAAATTTTCTTTTCTAGCACTCCTTTGACATGCCCAGGGATGTTTTACAACATTAAAGGTACTATAGAAATACAAGTTGTTGTTGTGATTTGGTACAAATCTAGCTACTTCAGAAAGCAGTTGTGAGTTAACCAAGTTAGTGTAGTACTAGAAGCCAGACAGCAATAGATGTCAAGTTTCATTCCCTAATAAAAGAGAGATTGGTGAACAAGAGGCTTTCTAAACAATCTAACAGCTTCATGGCCACTTCACTGATACCATCTTTTGAATTCTGGAATTTCACTGGTAGAAGCTGGACTGGAACAAAGGAATTGCTTAGCAATAAAAGAGAAAACTCTATCTGATTCACCCTCTATCATCCTGATAAGTACGCAATACAATGAGAGTGAAGTTATTGATTAATTAGTGATTAATCTCCATCAGTGAGTTTCCAACCTCACATTCCAGATTGTCCCACATTAAGAAACATCCGCTGGTATCCTGATTAACAGACTGAGTTTCACTTGTATTACTGTCCTGTTGTTAGATGTGTGATTACACTTAATGTGTAGTCAACTTTCTGGGCAGAAAGTAGGAATTTCCAACAGAAAGGAGATGTCACGTACATATTTCTATTTTATACCAGTCTCCCTGCTCAGGTGTTAAACTAAATTGGATTATTTCCTAAACAGAACACCCTGCAGTTTTACAAATTGCATCTTGTAAAATACAGAAAGGCTACTTCTTCATGTGTCCAAAATAGTTTGTTTCTCTCCTCTTCCTCACCCCCATCCACTTGCCTGTTGCTGTGAGACTGAAGTCACATGAACCCTGAGCAGTTAAAGATGGTTGCCATATTCTCTAAAGACAATGGGGATCCATCTGAGTTTTTAAAACATTTTCATAGCTTGTTGATCAGATTCTTCTTTCTACATTTAAAAAAAAACTGAATTCAAGATCTCAAATTTCCATCATAGGGATTTGAACTCCTGCTGGTTGAATTACTAGTATGATAAAATAACTGCTACACCAGACCACCCTTTACTCAGCCACTCCCAACTTTGTCCAACCTGCTTCCATTTTGCGTGACACTGCAGACTGGAATTTCCTGGTTTTTATCACTTTCATAACATCAAAGTAAATGGAAGCCAATTCCGACACAATGCAACTATATAACGTACAAGAACATTCAATGTCAAACGTCATTCTGAAATCCAAAACAAAAAGAGTTGGCCAAGCCAAAAAAAAAAAAGTGTTTTTATAGAACTGAACAACATTCTAAGGACTATTAGCTTGAGCCTTGAGAGGAGAATCTGTGTCTGGTCTGAAATGGGTTCTGATTGTCAATCTTGGAGCTTTGGGACAGAGAAAGAAAACAACTTCAGAATTGCTAAAGGCAGTTCCTAAGGGGATGGAGATGGAGAAAAGAGCAAACAAAGAATTACTGAATGAGGCCAGAAAAATAAGGGAACTCATATTTTATCAAAGGAAGACAAATGGAGTTCTTTAGTCACATTCTCTGTGCAGGCAGGTTATTAACACAGGAAGGATGAACAGATGAAGAGCAAGAGGTCGACCATGAACAAAGTGGCGAGACAACATCAAAGACTTGTTTCAGCTGAACTTCTACAACAAGGGAATCCAATGTTGGATGATTGGTGGCTTTGAAGAGCATGGTCATCAGAACCCTGCAATGACCAGTCTGTACAAACAACACATCGTGACCAATAGCATCAGCAGACCTGTGCCCCCACCCAATATCTTCTGGAACTCTGAGAGACAGTGTCAGCATGGGCCAAATCATGGAAAATTTGGCGTTCCAAGCCTGCCTCGAGGTACCCTGTGCGCCACCTTCCTGGGTTGATCCGTAAGCAACAAGGAGCAGGAACTTCCATCCCATCAGTTTGGTGTGAATTTTGTTCCGAATCCCAGAGGTGAAAGTCTAGTATATTAAAGTGCCCCAAACAGAATGTGCAATATACATAGCTGAGCATGGCCTTGAAGGATTATATTTGGTGCTGAAGAATTCCTCACTTGTTGACCAAAAATTGGCCCTTAGTAAACAAGAATATTACTGTTGAGTTCACTATGTACAGATTTTATAATATACCTCTCACTTCAGGATCAGGAAGAGTCCATTCCAATCTACTGTCTGGGGAGTTCACTCCTCCTTATGTTCTGACTGGGAACCTGGGCCCTGCGACTCCTTTGACCTGACGGGTAGGCCACAATCCGGGATTGAGCAGGTCGTACTAGTGTCTGTCTCCTCATCTCCGCCCCAATCTCCGTCAGGGTCTCAGCCGGAGAGCTCTGCAGCCGCTGGAAGAGGCTCTGGCGAGTCACCAGCTTCTCCTGACAGCTGAAGGTCACTGCGTTTCCCACATCGACCTTCATTTCTCGGGAGAAGCCGTCCGAGGTGCCGTCAAAGCAGCGGCCAATGGCGATCTCCTTGGCCAGCCTGGGGTTCTGATCGGTGACCGTATAGATCCCGTAGTTGTGGCCCAGTGGGTCCACGGGGGCCAGCATGCTGAAAGCCGATGTCTCATTGTTGACGGCCGAGGGGGGGTGTCGGCGCAGGTACTCCTGCAACAGGTTGTTGATCCCAGTTCGCCGGCAGCTGCCCTGGGGGATCACAGTCACCAGAGTGCGGTCAACCGAGCTTTGGTCAAACAGCATGCCCCCGCATTTGAACTCGAGGCATGCAGCTGAAACATTGGGATTGTTCAAATCTCGGACACTACGGGCATCCCGGATACCGTACAGCTGACCCACCGTCTCTGGGTGAGTGCCCCCAATGTTGCGCGACCTCACCATGACCTCCAGCGGCCCGTTGACTTTGACTTTGATGTAGCAAGCCCTGAACTCCTGAGGATTGGGCCACCATGAGAGATAGTTCCCCGTCCAACTGGTCAAGTCATTCTCCTCGAAAGGAACCACATTGTACTCATATTTGTCCTTCTCCACTTTGTAGAACCTGAAATGATTGGCTGAGACTGGGGCTTCTTCACACTCTTTTACATCTTGGTAGGCATATATTGGCCCATTGGTCTCATCGATGTTGTTTGCATTGGGCTTTGCGAGATTAATTTTGAAAGTGGTTTTCTTCAGCTGCTCGTCCTCATGGTCCGACCTTCTGTAGTCCAGCTTCCCCAGGAAGGGCTGAGACACTCCAATGATGTTGGGGTTCATTTTTGGGCTCGAGGCAGCGGCCTCTAGCTCCTCTGCTCCCAAGGTGGCTGTAACATAGGCTGTGTAAGCATCTGGCCTGACTGCATCACAGAAAGCAGGCAGGCAGGCTCCATTAGGCCCAGTTATGACACTGTCAAAGCGGCCCCATGCTCGTGGATTGGCTGTGTACCCTGGCAAAGGTTCCAGGTTGATCAGAGTTACCACCACTCCCTCTAGCTGCTCATTGGGCAAGAACTTCTCACTCATGTAGGCCCTGACTTTCACATAGCAGCGCCTGCCTTCCGGGACATCCAGATTGAAAAGACGGCGCTCCCGGATCTCCATGTTACCGATAAGGAACGTCCTCTCCTCGCGTTTGTTGCGCTTTCTCTTCTCAATGTGGAAGAGACTCTCTTCCTCCCAGAACCCGGTGTCTGGGTTCAAGGACCACAGCTTCACCTTCTCCACGTGCTCCGGCATCTTAATGCTGGCAGTGTCGAGGTAGACCTTAACATTGGACGCTTCGATGGCATCGTTCGATAACTCCTCCCGGAAATCAGCCGAGAACATGCCGTAGGTCCTCAGAGGTAGAATGTCTCCCTCTTCATTGATAAAGTTCAGGTCACTCGATGCAGTCATGGCGAGAGTGATGTTCCTTGGGTCCAGAAAAGTCACACTGGCCTTGACCTTCCCTCTGTAACTTTCCCCGTTGCTTCGGTGGAAAGAATTGGGTGCAATTTCCAGCTTTCCAATTGTGTCTTCACCTTCCATTTCTCCCAATGGAATGGTGACACCTATGGTGGAGTCAATCTCAATCGGCTTGGATTTCCTCAATAACTTAACCTCAAAATACACGTCCCCGCTCTTCCGGTCAAAGGGAAAGACTTTTACAGTGTCGACAAATTTGTTTGACTTGTCGATAAACTGGACAACAAGCCTTTCTGTTTCCTGAGGGACCTGTATAGTGAAGGTCCCCTTGTAGCCTGTCAGGCCAACTTTCTCATTACCCACAAAGATGTGTCCAAATCGCAGTGGCTCGCCATTATCTGCTGCCACTGCCCTCCCTCTGATCAATACCTTGGGCTCCAGGCACTTCTTGCAGCTGCATCTTGCTACCACCTTGACGGGAAGGGTGTATCCCTGACATGCAATCTCCACGTCCTTCATACGCTTCACTCCACAGCAGTACCTCGTGCTGTCCTTGCAACGCAGGTCAAAGTTCAGGTTGCCAGCACACCCACTGTTGGGACACTTCCCGACGTTGAAGTGAAAGGATTTGGTTGCTTTCTGGAAACAGTTCTCCGGCAGTTTGATGAAATGCTGCAGTGGTTTTGACTTGCAATTTGGTCGCCCTTTGGCTAAAGAGAAAGGTGAACAGGAAAGGTGACAGGATTAGACAAAATTCATCTCGAGTCCATGCTGCTGTTTATTCTACACACTTGTTCCCATCCCTGTTCTCAGTCCCTCTCCCTACTCTTCTATTCCTGTCTCCCTCATGCATGTATCCAGCTTCCCCTTCAACGTCTCAACAGAATTCCCGGTGACCCCTCCCTGTAGGAGTGAATTCTATATTTTCCCTACTCCCTGAGTGAGGAAGTTTTCTCCAGAATTGCCTGTTAGAAGCTTTAGTTCTTTGTGCTGTTGCCTCTGGAAGAACATCAGTCAGGTTAACAGCAGTTTTCCTTTTGAAAAGTTCAAAATTAATTGTGAGCATCATGCACCATTAATACTCAAGGTGTTTGTTCTTAATGGATGCTTTATATATCAGGACAGTTACCCAGCAGTACTCCTGTTTACAGCTCCATCTGCACTCTGAGTTTTCTGAGGACTTTTAATTTTTCAGGCTGTTCTGTTACAAGGGACATTTTGTTCAGTTTTGGCAGGATGCTACATATCTGTCAACACCCTGAAACCAGTTGCCTTTTTCTCTTTTATATTTGAATGGCTTTTTGCTTGCGTAAAGCTTGCTGGCAGTTTTACAGGGAAACTTTATGCAAACGCAAATGTGAAAGACTCTGAAACTGCCTTTGAAACTTTTCCATCTTAAACTGAAGTCGTGAGACATAACCACATAATCTGTGGCCCTTTAACACGATGAGCCAGACCACAGTAATGTGGCTAACTCTGGGTCAACCACTTCCAAGAGTCTGCATTCAGATAACAACAACATTGCTTGTGGTGTTTATTAGCCTCAGAGTTAAATCATTCCCAAACGCAAAATATTTCAAGTGCTAGAAAACCGAAATGAAAAGAGAAAATGCAGCAAGATCAGGCAGCATCTGTGGAGTGATATAATTAAGGTTTCTGGTCAGGACAATTCAGATGAAAAACTTCGAGCTCTGCTTTCGTCATTCACAAATGCTTCCTGACCTGCTGAGCAGTCAGCATTTTCTGTTCTATTCTATTTCATGCATTAACATTGTTTTCACGAGTTGATTGTCTGAATGTTTTGAATTCAAAGATTAAACATAGGAGCAGAACTGCGGCTATTAGATAGGCATATGGATGATAGTATAAGGTAGGGGTGGAGGTTAGATAGACCTTAGGATTAGTGAAAAGGTTCAACACAACATCGTGGGCCGAAGGGCCTGTACTGTGCTGCACTGTTCTATGTTCTGTAAGTGCCCTCTGAAATGGTCTAATGGTATTATCACTGGACTGTTAATCTTGAGACATCAATAATGTTCTAGTGACCTGGGTTTGAATCCTGCCATGGCAGATGGTGGAATTTGAATTCAGTTTTTAAAAAATCTGGAACTAAGAGTCTAAAGGTGACGATTAATCCATTGCCGATTGTCTGAAAAACCCATCTGGTACACTAATGTCCTTTAGGGAAGGAAACTGCCATCCTTACCTGGTCTGGCCTTCATGTGACTTCAGACCCACAACAGTGTGGTTGACTCTTAACTGCCCTCTGGGTAATTGGGGATGGGTAATAAATATTGGCCTAGTCAGTGATGTCCTCATCCCACGAATGAATAAAGAAAAATGTTTACCATTCAATTGTGTTCCATCACTATCAGAGGTCATTATTGAAATATCTCCACAAAGACCGGTATCCCACACCTAGTTACCCTTTATTTATACGTGTATAGTAATGACAGAGACCCAGCTAACTCAGAGCCAGCTTGAAGAGTGAACAAAAGCCCTGACACTCCTGTTTATATCTGTCAGCCAGGGCTCCCTGATTGGGGCTGTTAATTTGTTAGGCATGACTTCCCTCTGACAAAACCATGTTGACTATCCCTAACTAACGATGCCTTTCCAAGTGGGTATTAATTCGCTCTTCAGAATTTTGTCCAACAGCTTCCCTACCACTGACATGAGACTCACAGGTCTATAATTTCCTGGTTCATCTATACCGTCTTCTTAAAAAGTCAAACCACATTAGCCATCCTCCAGTTCTCCGGCACTTCCCCTGTGGCCAGACAGGAATTAAAAATTTGTGTCAGAGCCCCTGCAATTTCCTGTCTCTTCTCCCTCAGCAGCCTGGGATGCAGTTGATCCAGTTCAGGGGCTTTGTCTATTTTTAAGCCTGATAGAGCCTCCAAAACTGTGCCATTTCCTATATCAAACTGTGCAAGTTCCTCACAGTCTCTTTTCCTGAATTCTATACCTGTGTTCTCCTTTTCCAGAGTGAAGACCGAAGAGAAGTATTCATTCAACACCTTTCCAATATCCTGCAGCTTCACACGCAGGTGTTGCCCCCTTGATCCGTAATGGGCCTACTCTTGACCTGGTTAACCCCTTCCCTTTAATGTATTTATAAAATCTCTTTGAATTCTTCCTAATCCTATTTGCAAGTCCTTTTTCATGCCCTTTTTTGCTCTTCTGATTGCTTTCTTAAGTTCTCTCCTGCATTTCCTCTATTCCTCTGGGACCACAGCTGAATTGCTCCCTTCAGACTTGCTAAGAGCCCTACTCATCTTCATCCTGTCCTGATTTGTCCTAGACATCCAGGATTCTCTGAATTTATTGCTCCTACATTTCCCTCTGAAGGGTATGGTAGTCTCCCCAGCTCCTTTCTAAATGCCCCTATTGCTCCACTATAGACTTAACCATAAGGAGCTTGTTCCCAGTGTACTGTGGCCAGATTCTGCTTTATTTTAATAAAATCTGCCTTCCCCCCCCTCCAATCGAAAGCCATCTTTTTCAGGCTATCTTTTTCCTTGCCCAGAATAAATTTGAACCATACCATGTTATGGTCACTATTGCCTAAACGTTTCCCCACTGCCACATCGAACACTTGTCCAGCTTCTTGCCCCAGAACCAGATCCAGCACTGCACCATCCCACATCGGGCGTTCTATGTATTGATACAAAAAACTCCCCTGGATACATTTCAAGAAATCCACCCCCTCTAAACCCTTAACACTATGACTATCCCAGTTTACGTTGGGAAAGTTGAAATCCCCAAGTATAGTTACCCAATTATTACTCTTACACACCTCTGTAATCTGTCTACATATTTGCTCCTCTATTTCCCAATGACTCTTTGGGGCCCTATAATACACTCCCAATAAAGTAGCTGGCCCCTTAATGTTCCTAAGTTCCAACTACAAACCTTCATTTGTGGACCCTTCCAAGATATCATCTCTCCTTATTGTAGTAATTGACTCCTTCATTAATAGTACTACACCACCATCCTTTTCATACCCTCCTCTGTCTCACCTGAAGATCCTACACCCCGGAATGTTAAGTTGCCAGTCCAGTCCTTCCCTCAATCATGTTTCTGTGATGGCAACAGTATTACACTTCCATGTGTCAATCCATGCCATTAACTCATCAGTCTTATCTATTGCACTCCAAGCACTAAAGGTCATCCAGCCTTGCCTCACTCTCTTGACACTCAACGTAGCTGAATTCACTGTGACCTACTTCCTTTGCTGACAAATGATGTGTCTCTGTTTCATCAATATTCTGTGTCCCCTCCTCCTGCCAAACTAGTTTAAAGTCCTCCCAACAGCACTAGCAAACCTACCTGCAAGGATGTTAGTCTCAGTGTGGTTCGGGTGCAGACCGTCCCATTTGTACATGTCCCACCTTCCCCAAAAACAGTCCCAGTGATCGAGGAACCTAAAACCCTCCCACTTGCAGCAACACCTGAGCCAATTAAGGGCAGTTTAATTTGAAGCTGAATTTGAGATGTACCATCAGGGTAATCGATATCTAAATTTAAAAATGTGCCACAAAACGCATCAGGCGGGGATGACATATAATTCCACTCAGAATCAGATCTCTCTCAAAATACGGTGAATTTTTTTGAAGCGCAGTTAGTGTTCACATGTGGACAACTCACAGCTGCTTTGCACACAGCAATATCCCACAAGCAGCAAAGAGATGATAGATAAATATCAGGTTGCTTTAGAGACTTTAGAATATCTGGTCGGCATGGACGAGTTGGACTGAAGGGTCTGTTTCCATGCTGCACAGCTCTTTGACTCTGATTGTAATTACATTCTTTCCTGCAATGTATCCAGAGCCGTACTTCTAAAAAAAATAATATATTCATGTGGCTGTTGCTGGCTAGACCAGCATTTATTGCCCATCTCTAATTGCCCAGAGGGCAGTTAAGAGCCAACCCATATTGCTATGAGTCACCTGTAGGGCAGGCTGGGAAGGGATTGCAGTTTCCTTCCCTAAAGGACATTAGTGAACCAGATGGGTTTTAATGACTATCGACAGGAGCTACCATTAGACTATCATTTTAATTATACTCAAAAGTTATCACTGCTTTGGTGGGATTCAAAACTATGTGCCCAGAGGCTCTGGATTATAAACCTAGTGACACGACCACCATACCATTACCTCAGTGAAGGAGATGTCAGCCCATCATTACACAGCAAGATCTCATAGAAGCATTGTCATTAGTGACCCAGTCCATCCACATCAACTGTAGGGGGAGCAGGAGCAAACTGTACCCCAGTGGGAGGCAAGAGGTGATGGGGTTGGGTGTTGGGACACAGAATAAAATGCTGAAGCCTGGAAATCCAGAACTAGTTCAAGCGTCTGGCATGAGACAATTAAAGAAAATGAGGCAAATGATTCCACATGTGTGAGTTCCATAAGTCCAGGAATGTATCTCCCTGTGCCAGAGCATTCCCAATAAATCGCTGGAATATATCATAATTGGTCCATCATGGAACCACATTTCAGCTACAACTGGTTGGTAACTGTTCAGAGTTCTCCACTTCATTAATATTTTGCACCTGCTGGGACAGCAATGCTGCTGTCTGCCAGGCACAAGCAGCCTACACGTGAAACGCTTCAGTCGTGGTTCCCCGTGGTTGAAGTGCAATTGCAATGGGCTGTAACTGAATACAACAACAGCAAGGGTTAGGGTCTCATAAATTTGGTCCGGGTAGCGTTGGAAAATTCCTCGGATTTATACCATGCCACCAGTGAATTGCTTTTTCAGTCGGTCAACTATCACACACACTCATTTCTTTAGCTTTCTAACTTTCCTTATCTTCTTACCTGAAAAATGGCCAATTGGGAAGGGGCTGAGCTGCAAAAAGGAGTCCAAAAGACCGTAAGAAACAGGAGCAGGAAAAGGCTATTTGGCCCCTCGAGCCTGCTCCACCATTCAATAGGATCCTGGCTGATCGGAATCCTTTCCTTCGACTGAGATGTGAGAAGAATAAGGGTAATATTGAAATGTTCTACTCATCAAACCAGATTTTTCACTTCCTGAATTGTCTCTCTGACTTTCGCCAACCATACAACCTTCCAAGGTCTCTCTGCTCCTCCACCTACATTTGTTACTGGACTCACTGGATTCCACTGGAATTGGGCTGGTACTCGCTAGAATTTAGAAGAATGGAGGGGGAATCTCATAGATACATATAAAATCCTGATGGGACTGGACAGGCTAAATGCAGGAAGAATGTTCCCAATGTTGGGAAAGTCCAGTAGAAAGGACCACAGTCCAAGAATTTAGGGTAAGCCATTCAGAACTGAGATGAGGAAGAATTTGTTCACTCAGAGTCATGAACCTGTGGAATTCTCTCCCACAGGAAGCTATTGGGGCCAGTTTGTTAGATATATAAGGATGTGGCCCTTGTGGCTAAAGGGACCAAGGGGTATGGGGAGAGGGTGGAAATGGGATACTGAGATTGCATGATCAGCCACGATCATATTGAATGGTGATGCAGGCTCGAAGGGCTGAATGGCTTACTCCCACATCTATTTTCTAGTTTCTATTATCAATTTTAATCACTCCATTATTGTCAGCCAAGTCTTTAGCTGTCAACACCATGAGATTTGAAATTTATTCCCTAAAGCTCTGCGCCTCTCTTGCTGACTTAGAAGCTAGTGAGAGATGAGTTGTAGGGTCAATAAGGAGAAAGTATAATATTAAGGTGAAGGACAGGAGATTGAGAGGGGATTTGAGGAAAAGAAATTTCAACCAGCAGGTGCTGGGAATCTGGAATGTAGGTCACCAGCTTGTTGCTCGAGGCTACTTGAGTGACGCTATTCCACATCCAGCATGGTGCACCAGCAGACTCCTATCAGACAGACTTACAAGTTATCACAGAAAGAAAAGGCCCATTTTCTTGAAGCTTTTCATCTCTCACTCATCAGGACAATTTGCAAAAATTCCAATTCAAGAGGAAAACCAACATTTACGCTGCACAAGAGGATAATATTAATTATTTGTTATCAGCACTCTAATAGATGGAGCCATTGCTATGCTGATAACTGACAGTCAGGTTGACTTGATTGGTCAGGCTGTTACACTGAGAAACGAACAAGAAATGGCTATCGTCTGTATTGTTGAGTTGAACCAGACACTGTGCATTTTATTTTCCCCTTGAATTGGTATTCTTGCAAATTTCCTGCGAGATGAAAGAGTTCAGCGATTCTAAAGTCCTGCATGACGAAATGACCATTTGATTTACAGGTTGATAAGCCCCAACCAAAGGTTCTAGCTCAGAGACAGGATTTTATCCACAGGACCACAAGACCCCCTCTCCTCTTTTAGGACGCTTCTCGGTTCTTTGACTGAGCTCTTTAGTCACTTGTCTCAAACTCATCCCATGTCTGTTAATGCTCTGGTGAAATGTCTTGGGAGATCTTATGATGTGAAGGGTAGAATGTAGATGCACAGTTGAATAATGATCCCAAGGCATGACGGGCCTTGATTATCCTGTTTCACTTCAGCAGCCTTAAGCTTTGTAAATTACAGAGTGTGGCATGATTCCAGGTAATTTCATTTTTCAGAAGTTGCATTAACAAAACATTAATGCAGTAACACTGTGTCTAAGCTAATCTATGCAGTGATTTATAAATTAATTGCGCATCTGTCTGAACAGTGAAGAAAAATCCTTTCAGTAATAGAATGTGATGTCAAATATGTGATGAATGTGTTTAGTGCTGTTCATTAATTTACCCAATTTAATGCTTCAATCTTTAGATGCTATTTGCAGCAACACTGGGGCCAAGTGTTGAACTAAAGCTACAGAAATGAACAAGCCCTCGGTCTGTGCTGGTCTCTGGCAGTGCAGCTGGGTGTCTGCTCCTCAGTGCTATTCAGTGATGTCTGCTGTAAATGCAGAGGTGTGTTGACATTCTGATGATCAGTTTTAATTCTAATTCTTCGCTTACCCACCTATGCAACCCAGACAGTTTGAGGGAGGAGTTAAAATCAGTCCCATTCCAAGTAGTTCCCGCTTGGTGGCATTTTAGCTTCAGAGAGTGAAGGAAGCGAAGGTTCACGTTGACTGAAGACAAATAGAACCCTGATTCACTGAAGCTCAATGGCTGAGCTTGTGATTATTCATAACAGCCTGATAGCGAGATTCTCCCTGTGTCAAATATCGAGTTATATCAAGCCTACAGGATTCAGGAACCTGACAGGAGGGAATACCCCTTTGTGCATTTGGAGAATATCATTGGGGGTCATGGAAAGCCAGGTGTTGGACCTTCAGGCTCAGAAAAACATCTGTTGATTTCCCTTGACTCACCCTTCTTTGTCTCTCTCCCCAATCGCAACCAGAGTCTACTTTAGCAATGCACTCCCTCACACCACTTCCCTCATGCAGCAGCTGCTCCTTTAGAGGTGGGCTCCTTTCCTAACCAGCCCCTTTCAGCCAGTCTTCACTGAATTCTTTCTTTCTGGAGATTCTGGTTTCAATGGTTCACAAGTTCTGCCCATGATCACTGAAACAGTCTCAGTGCCTTCAGAACCTGTGAACTCTGCATTCACAATCGGCTCTCCATGGACTGATCTCACACGCCCACTCTGCTCAAGATCAGACCACCACGAGGGGATATCCTATCACTGTGGGATAGAACAATGACATGTACCAGATGGGACAAATGGCCACACATAGAAGAAACTGCAAGGCTGTCGTTGGCTGGGAGCAGCAGGAGTCAACATATTTGTGACTGGGAGAGAGAAGACACCAGACGAATTCTGTAATGGCTGTTGATTCTGTGTGTGTGTGTGTGTGAGAGTGTAAGAGTAGTGAGTGTGTGAGGGACAGAGGCAGAGAGAGAGAGGGAGACAGAGAGACAGGACTAAGTGCCTCAGCACAGAGTGACAGCGAGAGATTGAGCAAGTGAGAAAGAGAAAGAGAGCGAGAAAGTGAGTGTGAAAAAGAGTTGGAACTGAATATTCCATGTACAGTCACCCACCTGTAACTGTGAGAGTTGCTGGAACTGATTTGATGGAGCTGATGCCATTGGAAACTTTGCACTGGTATTCCCCTCCCTGCCAGTTCTTCAACTCCTTCAGCAATAAAGTTTCTTCATTTTTTGTGTCCAGCAGTGTTCCATTGTGATACCTGGGCAAAAGTCAACAAGCGAGGGCAGACATTGGTAGAAAGAAAAGTTGGTAATGTTAGAATTGCAACAATGATCAGACTCACAGTGACATGACACAGGGAAACCCACCCACTTGGATAAGAGCTGTGGAGTTTGTGTCTATACAGTAGGGAGGATAATCCAGCAGATTCCTCCTGCTTCACCCTCACACACTCCTGCCATTGCTCACCCCACACGCCCATCCTTGCAGAGCTCCATCTTCCCCACAGCCAGAAAGCAAACAGATTCTTCCTTCTCTGATTGGATCATCAACAAACAAACAAAGGTATTCAAAGAAAACTTCAAAACCTTAAATCTTTTAGAATAAATGCAGCTATCATTCTGATCCCTGATTATTGCAATCCTGCAGGGTTGACAACCTTCATATAGGACAATATTCAATGCTCATATAAACTTACAGAGGCCATTCAGCCCCTCGAGCTAGCTCTGCCATTCCGTAAAATCAAGGCCAATTTGATTGTAACCTTGCATTCATGTTCCCAGTGACCTATGATAACGTTTCACCCCCCCCACCTTCGCTTATCAAGAATCTCTCCACCTCTGCCTTGCAAATAGTCAAGGACTGGCTGGTATGGTGCTCAGTGGTTATCACTGCTGCCTCACAGCACCAGGGACCCGGGTTCAATTCCAAACTTGGGCGACTGTCTGTGTGGAGTTTGCACATTCTCCCTGTATCTGTGTGGGTTTTGCCCTGGGTGCTCTGGTTTCCAAAGTCCAAAGATGTGTAGGTTATGTGGATTGGCCGTGCTAAATTGCCCGTAGAGTGCAGGAGAGGTGGATCAGGGTGGAATGCTCTCTGGAGGGTTGGTGCAGACTCAATTGGGCCAAATGGCCTCTATCTGTACTGTAGGGATTCTATGTCTTTGCTTCCACTGCCCTTTAGTAAGGGCGTGGAATGCCCTGCCTGCAAAAATAGTAGACTCGCCCACTTTAAGGGCATTTAAATGGTCATTGGATAAACATATGGATGATAATGGAATAGTTTAGGTTAGATGGGCTTCAGATTGGTTTCACAGGTCGGCGCAACATCGAGGGCCGAAGGGCCTGTACTGCGCTGTAATGTTCTATGTTCTATGTTCTATGTTCTATGTTCAGGAAGAGAGTTCTAAAGTCTTACCAAAAAATATTGCTTTATCTCTGACTCAAATGGGTGATCCTGGATTTTTAAACAGTGAGCCTTAGCTCTCCAATAAGAGAAAACATTTTCACACATGCAACTTGTCAAGACCCCTCTGAATCTCACATGTTTTCTAATATTATCACTAATTGACTTTTGAGAAGGTGGTGTTGAGCTACTGGACTGAGCCATTGCAATTGGACCAGGAACCTGTGAGTGCTGGTGTGTCCTTGCACCTTTTAGCCTTGTTCTTCTAGTGGTCTTCATGGGTTTGGAAGGTGCTGTCAAAGGAGCCTTGACAAATTGCTGCAGTGCATCCTGTTTATGGTACACACTGCTGCTACCATGTGTCGGTGGGCAAGGCACTGAGATGTTTAAGGTGGCGGAAGGGATACTGAACAAACCGATTTAATCCTGCATAGTTTCAAGCTTCAGGAAACCCGAACTCAACTCAATCTCTGTCCAAGTCTTGCAGCTGCGGAAGGAAGTGGGTCAGTTTTGGGGGCAGCCGAAAAGAGAAAGAGAAATCTTAAGAAAGTGCCTCACCACAAATATTGAAGTGGAGATGGAGATCCAGTGGCCTTGCAGCAAAAGGACACTCGCTGACCTTCAAATCGTACTTTTGTCTCAGGGTGTTTCACAATGTAGGGCTTTTCTGTCGAAGAGAGAGGAGAAAGAAGGAACGAAGGACAGCTGAGATCAGAATGTTGATAAGTACAGAAAAAATACTGTCCAGAATTTTATGCCCTCTGCAGGTTGGACTTTTAGTCAGAAAGAAGGCCCAGCCACCATGCCCACTGCACCCAGATTAAGTGCCTGGTTGGAAAGCTCACAGATGACCATCCTACCCTGTACCCAACAGACTGCTCAATGAAGAGTGTCACCATGCCACCAGTGGGCACTCTCAGTGCCAGGCAAGAGAAACTCAGGGCAAACTCTGTCAGGGTTAATTATAGGCTTTCTCAGTTTAAAGGAATTCAGCACCTGATCGAAGGACCCAGCTTTGTGAAATGGGGAGGAGTTTGCAACCCACTCTCCCACTCTCTCTCATCACTTACCTACCCCAGGTCCAATGGTGAGATCCTGAGAGTTGGCTGGGTGCACTACCGGTGGCAGCCACTGGCTCCGAGCGGGGCTGCTGACCAGCAAAGAGTTGCCCAGCCTCCGATTGGTCAGCATCTCGCAGAGAAGAGTACTTTTGCTCCCAGAGTCCTTGTTCCTGGAGAGGGTCTGCCACTGTCCTTTAAGAAGCATGAGTCATATTTAAGCCTTTGGGTCTTCCCAAAAAGAGGTGGCTTGGGCTGCATGCTGGATCTCCAGTCCACCAGCAAACCCTGTCACATCCATTAAATACTGCCCAATGAAGTTGGGTGGGGAAGTGTATTCAAGGCTGCGATTGACAGGTTTTTAATCAGTAAGAGAAATCAAGGGTTATGGGGAAAAGGCAGGAAAGTGGAGTTGAGGATTCTCAGAGCAGCCATGATCTCATTGAATGATGGAGCAAACTCGATGGGCTGAATGGTCTACTTCTGCTCCCATGTCTTATGACTAATGGTCTTATGTGCATCACAGAATTGGCCTTAGGATTGTTAAAACTCCAAATTGAATGTGGGTTTTCTTGTTTGATAACTGGATAACAACAACACAACTTGTGTTTATATACCATTTTAGAATAATAGAATGTCTTAGGGTAACCTGTAGGAGTGTTACAAGCCCCAAAAGGAACTTGTAGGTCAGGTGGCTAAAAGCACAAAGATGTACCTTCAGAGATCGAGTTAAAAAGAAAGAAATTGAGAAAGAAAGCTGTGAATAAAGGAAGGCGGTGGTACAGAGGCTGTATCACTGCTTCAGTGATCCAGAGCCTCTGGAGCTGGGGTTGTAGGTTCAAGTCTTGCCATGGCTGGTGGTGAAATGTGAAATTACTAAAAATCTGGTCTAATGTTGACCACGTAACCATTGTTGATCGTCTTAAAAACCCATCTGGTTCACTAACGTCCTTTAGGGAAGAAAACCTGCCATCTGTATCTGGTCTGACCTACAGGTGACTCCCTCTGGGCAGGTAGAGATAGGCAACAAATTGCTGGCCTAGCCAGTGACACCTACAGCCTGTGAGTGAAATAAATGGAGCGTTGCTGGAATCTGGAAATTTGAATAAAGCTACTGGGAGTCAACTGAAATTGTAAATTGAGTGGGTGCAGGGATAGCAAGAGTGTGAGGGGAGATAGCCAAGTACATTTGAAATAATGTGATATAATGAGATTGAACAGTAGAGTAATCTCGAGGGCCTGGAGTGAGCTTTGCCACTTTCTCATGGCTTGCTGCTTTGCCTTTCTCTTTGAAGATCGACGAGCAGAGTTAGCGAAAAGGTTGACCGCCCAAGGAGAGATCAAACGTTTGAGATAGTTACTAACCAGCTCTCTCCAGAACCACCTTCACCACTGATGATTCTGTGCTATTCTGAGCTGCTTGAAACACAGAGGGGGCAAACCTCGCACTTTCGATCAGGAGACGGGTCTTGCTGTCGGCACAAATGCCAGGGATCTTGAAAGAGCCATTTTCATCGCTGACCGTGACGGTCACATTTGGCTGATCCTCCATCGCTATCCTACTCCGGCTAACGGGGACTCCATTTGCTGAATGCACTGTGCCCAGTAAAAGGTGTTGGTCACAGACACAGCCATTACATTCTTCACTGACGTGTCCCACTGCACACACGTGCTGACAGACTGTAACATAACAGACCCATCGGTTTTATTAATTGCTGTTCTTACAGAAACATAGAAGGTAGGAACAGGAGTAGGCCATTCAGCCCTATGAGCCTGCTCCATCTTTCAATACGATCACAGCTGATCATCCAACTCAGTCTCCTGTTCCTGCTTTCTCCCCTTTGATCCCATTAGGCCTAAGAACTTTGCCTAATAAAGAGGCCTTTGGGTGTGGCACATTGTTTTTCAAAAGTGGAGTCCCAGGTAAATAGGATGATGAAAGTGGTGTTTGGTACGCTTGCCTTTATTGGTAAGTGCACTGAGTACAGGAGTTGGGAGGTCACGTTGCGACTGTACAGGACATTGGTTAGGCCACTTTTGGAATACTGCGTTCAGTTCTAGTCTCCCTCCTATAGAAAGCATGTTGTGAAACTTGGAAGGGTTCAGAAAAGATATACAAGGATATTGCCAGGGTTGGAGGGTTTGGGCTATAGGGACGGGCTGGATAGGCTGGGGTGATTTTGCCTGGAGCATTGGAGGCTGAGGGGTGACCTTATAGAGGTTTATAAAATCATAAGGGGCATGGATAGGGTGAATAGCCAAGGTCTTTTTCCTAGGGTAGGGGAGTCCAAAACTAGAGGGCACAGGTTTAAGGTGAGAGGGGAAAGATTTAAAAGGGATCTGAGGCAGCTTTTTCATGCAGAGGGTAGTGTGTGTATGGAATGAGCTGCCAGAGGAGGTAGTCAAGGCTGGAACACTGGAACAATTACAACATTTAAAAGGTATCAAATGGGTATATGAATGGGAAGGGTTTAGAGGGTCAAGGGCCAAATGCTGGCAAATGGGATTAAAGCAGTTTAGGATATCTGGTTGGCATGGTCGAGACGGACCAAACAGTCTGTTTCAATGCTGTATAACTCTACGACTCTATAAATATATCCAGCTCCTTCTTGAAAATGCAGTGTTTTGCCTCAACCTCACTCTATGGCAGAGAATTCCACAGGCTTCCCAATCTCTTGTGAAGGCATTCTCCCCATCTCAAACTTAAATGGTCTACCGTATATCCTTAGACAGTGACCCCTGTGCTGGTTCTGGACTCCTCCACCATCAAGTACATCCATCCCATGTTTACCTTGTCTAGTCCTGTTAGAACTTTATAGATTTCTATGAGATCCCCCTCATTCATCTAAGCTCCAATGACTATACTCCTAACTGATCCAATCTCTCTTCATATGCCAGATCTGTCAATCCAGCAATCAGTCTGGTAATCATTTCCATCCTCACTGGCCTCACAATCCCAACTCTAAGTGATATAGTTCTGCTATTCCTCAGAATGATGCATACAATAGCATCTTGCCCAGTAACGCTACTTAAAATGGCTGCGTTTGCTGTTACTGTGATGTAAGAAACACAGTCACTACTCACACTGCCAGTGATACCACGGGTGTCGGCTTGTGTCACAGAACAGGAGCAAACAAAAGGATTTACTTTCAAATGTTTTTAAGTCAGTTAAAAGCCAGCGAGTGCAATATTCACACATCCCCACTTCTAACAGCTGCCTCCCAGGTCCCATGCCCTCAGCTCTCTGCCCACCATTCATTAAGTGTGACAGTGGCCAAAGCAGTGAAAGTAAACATTCCTCCCATGTATAACCATCTGTGGCACATGTTATACAGTCGGTGGCACAGTGGTAATGATACTGGGCCATAATCCAGAACTCCAGGCTAATGCACTGGGATATGGGCTTGAATCCCAACATGGCAGAAAAGCCAATATAATGGCAACTACAGTTGCTCTAAAAACAAAACCAATCTGGTACATGAAATGAAGGCAATCTGCCCATCACTGCCTGGTCTGGTCTCAACAATGAGAAATTAGGAATAGGTGATAAATTCTGCCTTGCCACTGATGCTCATATCCTCTGGAAGAACTGAAAAAAAAGGGGGGCATTGATGTCCAGTTCTAAATGGCATAGAGTTCCTGTCATACTGAGGTGGCAGAAGACACACCAATTCAAAACACAAACGTTAAAGATCCACAAACTGCAGACAAGAGTCCAGTATTAATGTGCAAAGAGGAATTTAATTGACAAACAAAAGGAGCCTGATTAGCGGTATAGTCAAGATCCTGATCTGTATTTAATTTGTTAATTTCAGCAGTAAGTACACCTAAAAACGCTTCATTGGTGGTAAAACGCCTTGATGGACCCATTGGGTGTGACCTGTATCATTTTGCACATGCCAAGTCTCAGGGTAGACATGAGGTGATCACCTAGCCCACACACCCTCAAGCACACTATTCCAACTCAATATTTACCAAAATTAAAATTAAAATTAAATTAAATGCTGCAGATGTTGGGAATATGAAATCACAGCAAAGTGCTGGAGAAACTCAGCAGGTTTGGCAGCATCTGTGAGGACAGAAGCATTTCATTTGTTGTTTCCTTCGGCTGCTACCAAATCTGGTGGGGTGAGATGTTTCTCCAGTACTGTGTTTGTATTATGCCGATTCTCGGTATCGAGAGGAAGACAGAGAGGAAGACAGAGAGGAAGACAGACTGATTGAAGGGTAAACTTGAAACAGGCTGAACGTTGGTCACCCTCCATCCCAGTCGTCCTTGAAATAAAAGGTTGTGGGATATTTAATGTCTTCTTGAGAGGTCAGATTTGTTTAACCTCTGAAGAACGAGAGCAGTACTCCTTTGCTATTGATGCTGGGAGCAGCAGTTTACATTACAGATGTTCAGGTTTGTGGAATGGGCTTGACCTACCGTGACCTAACTAGCTCCAAGAGGAGAGACAAAGTGCTACTAACTGAGCCCCGACTGACACAAGAGATTTCCTGAAAAGTGTGTGCGACAGTGCTGTCCTTTTAATGAAGATCGCTGCCTGAGGAATCGAAGAAGATGGTACTTCCCATCAGAGAGAGTGTGAGAGAGTGCCTCTCCTTCTGCTTAAAATTAAAATTACACCTCAGAGCGAGGAGTCACGAGCAGACTCTAATTACAGGGTAGTTCATCCCCACAATAAACACTGTTCAGCCCTGACACTGAGCAATTTGGAAATGTATCCAGCACTGACAGATAACCGACCTCCCCACTTGTTTAAGTTTCAAACTAAAAATGAGAGTGTGAGTGTGGGTGTGTAAGGGTTGTTGGGCTATATATTTATATACCTTGCTAGAAACTTCCACTGCTGATGGTGACAAAGAAAAACTCAACAAAAGATAAATCAAAGACTGAAAGAACTGTGGATGCTGTAAATCAGGAACAAAAACAGAAGTTGCTGGAAAAGCTCAGCAGGTCTGGCAGCATCTATGAAGGAAAAAACAAAGAGTTAACGTTTCGGGTCTGGTGACCCTTCAGGATCTTCAGAACAAACCAGGTGGCACGGTGGCTCAGTGGTTAGCACTGCTGCCTCATGGCACCAGGGACCAGGGTTTGATTCCACCCTCGGGTGACTGTGGAGTTTACACATTCTCCCCGTGTCTGTGCGGGTTTCCTCCGGGTGCTCCGGTTTCCTCCCACAGTCCAAAGATGTGCAGACTAGGTGGATTGGCCATGCTAAGTCATCCATTAGTGTCAGGCCTGTGTAGTTTAGCCAGGGAAAGTGGGGAGGAATGGGGTGGGGTGCTCTTTGGAGGGTCTGTGCAGAATCAATGGGCTGAATGGCCTCTTTCTGCACTGTAGGATTTGTTGTGGGAGTTTCTTTTTCAGAGAGTGATTGCTATCATACAGAAGGAGGGAGCGAGAGTGAGAGCTCAGCCAGTGCTGGAATTCTCCCAATGCCTCACAGAAGTTGCTATCTTCCTCCCATCAGGAGTCCATCGACCAATGGGTCATAATGGAGAGGTTTTGCCAAAATCTTGACATGCCAAAGCTGGCAAAGCCATGTTGCCTGGCACCCCTGCAGTTCCAGCATGACCCAGGGATGGAGTACTTTCCTTTGGAAAATGTAACATTTTCAGGACCAGATTGGTACCTCCCTCTCACCGGAGTCACAGCAAGGTTAAAAAAAAGAGGAGGCCATTCAGCCCATCATGTCTGTACCAACTCATCAAATGAACATTTTAACTTAGCGTTATTCTTCTGCCTTTTCCCCATACCCTTGCACATCGGATGATCATTTTAATAGAAACAAGGCCCTCCAGAATGCCTCCATGGCTAGAGGTGTTGCTATGGAGAATGTGTCAGTTAGATGAGAGACAATTAACTGCCAAGCTTTGTTTAAATTTAAACCAAGAAGGTTGACACAGCACATTGCCCTGAGAAATGACCAGAGAATGGTTGTCACCTGTTTTGTGGAGCTGAAATAGATGAACTCTGTATATGTTCTTACAGTCTGCAAGTAGGGGCCTGTGTATTAATGTATTCAGCTCCTAGTACAAATCTATCAAACTACCCGCCTGACAGAATCTTAAACTGGTTGCCAGTGAAATTCTTGAAGTACTCAGGCAATACCTCTGCCAATTCGAGTTCTTAACAACCAATCAACATTCTCTGCTCAAACACTGTAAAATGATGTTTCCCATTTACTTGTGAATTGTCCTGATGAGTGCAAAATGAAAAGTTTCAACAAAATGTGTCTTTTTACAGCAATACTCCAATTCTGTACCATCAAATGACTCAATTTTTTGATCTTGCTGAGCACCAGTTTACTGCCACATCGCAGCAGGGTCTATACTTTCCAATAATGAACCCTTCAGGACTCTAAATGCACTGGGGAATCCCGAAGGATTGAAAGAGCATGCAGGACTGACCTTGTCGATGTAGTCAGAGTCATACAGCACAGAAACAGACCCTTCAGGCCAACCAGTCCATGCTGAACATAATCCCAAACTAAACTAGTCCCATCTACCAGCTCCTGGCCCATACCCCTCTGAACCTTTCCTACTCATGTACTTATCTAAGTGTCTTTTAAATGTAATTGTGCCCATATCCACCACTTCCTCAGGAAGTTCATTCCAGATGCGAATGACCCTGTGTAAAAACAATTGCCCCTCATGTCTTTTTTAAATCTCTCCTCTCACCTTAAAAAAAATGTGCCCCCTAGTCTCAAAATCCCCCATCCTAGGGAAAAGATGCCAACCATTAACCCTTTCTATACCCCTCATGATTTTATAAACCTCTAAGGTCACTCCTCGACCTCCTATGTTCCAGTGAAAAAAGTCCCTGACTATCCAGCTTCTCCCTATAACTCAAACCCTCTATTCCTGGCAACATCCTATTAAATCTCTTCTGAACTCTCCAGCTTAATAAGATCCTTCCTATAACTGGGGACACAGTATTCCAGAAGTGGCCTCGCCAACATCCTGTACAACCTCAACATAATGTCCCAACTCCTATTGTGAAAGGACTGAGCAATGAAGGCAAGCGTGCTAAACACCTTCTTAACCAGCTTGCCTACATATAACGCAAACTTAAAAGAATCATGTACCTGCACCCCTAGGTCCCTCTGCTCTACAACACTACCCAGTGCCCTGTTTGTAGATGATTTCTTTACCTGCACAAGGAGCGCGGCTGCACTTCTGGACTTCAATCGGCCGGCCAGTGCAGGTCGTCCTTTTTGGGGTTCGGCCACAGCTTCGACGGCGCAGGATGTGACCTGTTCCACACGAGACAGAACACTCGGTCCACGGCCCCCAGTCTGTCCAATGGGCCTCTTCAAAATCAGATGGGGCGGGGAATGAAGTCAGTATATTGTTCCAAAACAGGACTAATAAATTACATCAGGGAGGGAGAGAGGGAGGTGGCTGTTATCAAAGCAGCAAAACAACAACCTGCATTCATGTGACACCTTGAATGTAGTAGAACACCACAGGGCATTTCACAGGAGCAATTATCAGACTAAAATTTGACACTGAGTTGCGTAAAGTGACCAAAAGCTTGGTCAACGAGTTTTAAAGGAGACTTGTAGAGGGAAGGAGTACGATGTTAGAGCCATAGAGTCATTATGGTGCATAAAAAGAGGTCAGTCAGCCCATCAAATTCATGCTGACCCTCTGTACAGCAATTGAATTGATCCCATTGTGCTGCCACTGTGTGGAGGTCTAGGGAAGTCACAGCTTCCGCAATGGGACACCACGCTGCTATAGGCAGAGCCGAGCAGACGTGCAGCTTAGAACCTGTTGCTCTGCGCTCTCAATGTAGTTTGTTTTATTCATTCACGGGATGAGGGTGTCGCTGGCTAGGCAGCATTTATTGCCCATCCCTAATTGCCCAGAGGGCAGTTAAGTCAACCACATTGCTGTGGGTCTGGAGTCACATGTAGGCCAGACCAGGTAAGGATGGCAGAGATAGCAGGAATGGCAGATGCTGGAGAATCTGAGATAACAAGGTGTAGAGCTGGATGAACACAGCAGGCCAAGCAGCATCAGAGGAGCAGGAAAGCTGATGTTTCGGGCCTAGACTTTCTGAAGAAGGGTCTAGGCCCGAAACGTCAGCCTTCGTGCTCGGCCTGCTGTGTTCACCCAGCTCTGCACCTTGTTATCTCAGGTAAGGATGGCAGTTTGACCAAAAGGAGAATTACTGAAACAGGTGTGTTTCTCCCCCCAGCAATTACCATTAACCCATAACTCTGGATTTGTTAAATTAATTCAAATTACACCATTGGCCATAGCAGGATTTGAACCCTGGTCCCCAGAACATTTCCTGGGCTTCTGGATTAATAGTCTAGTGATAATACCACCAGGCCATCACTTCCTCTATTGCAGTCATCAATTGTCATTGCTTCCACCACCATTATAAACAACATACTCAAGGCTGTTCCCACTCACTGCAGAATAAAATCCTCTCATATGCCCTTCTACCTCATGCCCAAAGCCTTAAATCTGTCCTTTCCTCATTTCATCGGCCTCTGACTACAACTTTTCTGTCAGAGTCTGTGTTATCCAAACCTGTCATAGCATGCACATCTCCCTGCTTTACCCTCAGTCTCTTTAACTCCAATTCTAGTTTCTCCAAATCTAACAACAGAGATTGGGGGTGGGGGGGGGGGGGGGGGGGGGGAGGTGGATTATAATGGATAAAGTCAGGAGAGAGAGAGAGACACACACAAAGAGACAAGAAAGAGAAATAGACAATTGGTGGGGAGTTTAACCTGAGAGTCAGGCGAGGGGAGAGGTGAAAGGATTAATTAAGAAAACATACAAAAGAAAATCAGACAATGCTACACCCTGAGGAAGTAGGACGCACAGAGTAAATCCTTTAGACGAGGAGGCATTATTTCTCAGAGAAGATCTTTGGAGGATGGGAAGCTGGATCATCTGATATAATCAAGTATGCGTCAGGCAGATATGTGATTGACAAGGAGACAAGATTATGGGGATAGGTAGGAAAGTACAGTCAAGGCCACAACTGGATCAGCAATAATTGTATTGAATTGTAGACAGGCTTGAGGGGCTGATTGGCCTTCTCCAGCTACTAATTGTGATGTTTGTTAAATCCTGATTTCAGAGCTCAGGCCTGGAGAGAAAGGTTACGATTCTATTTACCTTATGATTAGTTACTTGCACATGAGTCTACAGTGACTTGTGTACAAGACACCCAAAGTCCTGTGCTCCAGAACAGCTATTAATCTTTAACCATAAGAAAATCACCCACCTACTGAATGGCAGAGCAGGTTCAAGGGGTTGAATGGCCTACTCCTGTTCCTATTTCTTATGGTCTACGGTATAAAATAAACCACTCGGTCCCTTCTCAAATCCATATCTACCCATGGTGTATCTACTAGGGTCGACATAGCAAGAACTGGCACAATGGTTCATACTGGGCCTAGGTTACTAATTGCAAATCTTTTTCTCATCCCAGCTTTTACGAAGACAAGTACAGGTGCCTTACAGTCTGAAAAGGGAGGACATCAGAATGCAGTTAGTTAAAAGGTATTGAGGAATGTGAAACCACAGCAGGTAGATGGAGTTAAGGTCCAGAATAAACAGGAACTGTTTTTGTTTCCCCTTTGTTCATTAATGGGATCAGGGCATCACTGGCCAGGCAGCATTTCCCATTCCTAATTGCCCAGAGGGTGGTTAAGAGTCAACCACATTGTTGTGGGTCTGGATTCAGACATAGGCTGGCAGCTTCCTTCCCTAAAGGACATTAGTGAACCAGATGGGTTCTTCCTGACAATCAATGAATTCATTGTTAGATTCTTAATTCCAGATATTTTATGGAAGTCAAATTCCACCATGTGCCATAGCAGGATTTGAACCCAAGTCCCCAGGATGTTACTTGGGTCTCTGGATTAACAGTCCAGTGATAATACCACTAGGCTATCGCCTCCCCACGGTTGAACGGTGGATCAGGCTGGAACAGGAGGCTGTGTGTCAGAGGGGAGCTGTCTGTGGTTTCTCTCTAATGCTGAGATGTCTCGATGGGTGGGTGAGTGAGTGGAGTGTATTTAGCTCTTACCCTGGCAGGGTTCAGTGCTGCAGTCTCGCCGCTCAATGGCCTTTCCCTTGCATTTCGGAGCCATGATGAAGCGGAAACGCATGCTGTTTGTGCAGGTGCGCTGGCGAGCTTGGATCCCCGTATCGCCACATGCGGTCACCGAGCACGAACTCCACGCTGACCAGTTTGACCAATAGGCTTGAACTGAGGACAAGAGTTCACAAACAAGACAGTGAGATCAACATATTCAAGTTCATACATGGCAGCTTCCGCCATTGCACTGTTCAACGTATTTTCCAATCAGCTCCCTCAGAGATGCTACTACATACTTCTGGAGCAGGTGGGACTTGAATCCATGACCCTGGTCCAGAGGTAGGGACATTACCACTGTGCCACAAAAGCCTGTATTGCAATGTTCCATTGTTCCGTGTTTGATTATCGAAGCCTGTTCACTATCGTGTCTCACTGTGCCTGATTAATGAAGCCGAATTTTGAACTCAAAGTAAAGAAGCTGTAGGAAGAGCTGGAAGGCAGAGCTGAAGCATGAAGCAGACATTATAAAGCATTGAGAATAAAACACGATATATGCAGAGAAAGTAGTGTCAACTTTGCATTGAGGTGTGATATAAAATATACACCACCTAGATTTGGTTTGTTATTGTCACATGCACTGAGATACAGTGACAAGTATTGTTTTGCATGCCATCCAGACAAATAATACCTTAAATAAGTACATCAGGGTAATAGAACAGAATGCAAAGTGTAATGTCACAGGCAACATAGAAGGTGCAGAGAAAGATCAACTCTAATATAGGAGAGGTCTGTTGATAAGTCTCACAACGAGGAAGAAGTTGTTCTCGCAGAGCTCCAACCTAGAAAATGTAAAGCTGGAAATGCCATCCTCAGCATATTGTCACACAAAATCTAATTTATTCATTCAATCACAGTCATAGAGTAATAGAGATGTACAGCACGGAAACAGACCCTTCGGTCCAACTCGTCTATGCCGACCACATATCCAGAATAAATCTAGACCCATTTGCCAGCATTCGGCTCATATCCCTCTGAACCCTTACTATTCATGTACCCACCCAGATGCCTTTTCAATGTTGTAATTGTACCCACCTCCACCACTTCCTCTGGCAGTTCCCGCCATACACGCACCACCCTCTGCGTCAAAACATTGCCCCTTAGGTCCCTTTTAAATCCTTCCCCTCTAGTTTTGGACTTCCTCCACCCCACAGAAAAAAAAACTGTCTATTTATCCTATCAACGCCCCTCGATTTTAAGCCTCTATAAGATCACCCCTCAATCTGAGCCTCCAAGGGAAACTACCGAGCCTATTCAGCCTCTCCCTATAGCTCAAACCCTCCAACCATGGCAACATCCTTGTAAATCTTTTCTGATCCTTTTTTCCATTCATGGGATGAGGGCATTGCTGGCTAGGCAGCATTTATTGCCCATCCCTAATTGCCCAGAGGGCAGTTAAGAGTCAACCACATTGCTGTGGGTCTGGAGTCACATGTAGGCCAGACCAGTAAGGATGGCAGTTTCCTTCCCTAAAAGGACATTAGCGAACCAGAGGGGCTTTTCCCAACAATCGAAAAGGGATTCATGGTCATCATTAGACACTTAATTCCAGATATTTATTGAATTCAAATTCCACCATCTGCCATGGTGGGATTTGAACCTAGGTCCACAGAACATTTTCTGGCTCTGCTGGGTTAACAGTCAAGTGATGATACCACTAGGTCAGCACCTCCCCTTTTTTGAGCTAACAACATCTTTCCAATAGCAGGGAGACCAGAACTGAATGCAGAATTCCAAAACTTGCCTAACCAATGTCTTGCACAGCTGCAACATGACCTCCCAACTCCCATACTCCGTGCACTGACCAAGCAAGTGTACCAAACACCTTCACCACTCTGCCTACCTGCGACTCAATTGAATGTTTCAAACACAATATTTAGAATTCATGAATAAAAATAATTGCTTTATTTTAAAAAAAAAAGGCTTAAAGAGAAGAAAACTGCCCACGGGACGAAGCTGGGGGTTTTAGGTCGGGCAGATGAAGAAAGAGAACAAAAAAATGACATTGGAAAGGAATGTTGGTACGAGACCAGGA